TCTCAAACTTCGGTCGAAACGAAATCAATACTCTGAAGAAGACGTGGAAAGTGGTGCCCGCAGTCAACCAAATCAATCTCCACCCGACCCTTAACCAGGACGACACCGTTGCCTATTGTAATGAATTAGGTATCTCTGTTACCGGTTACTCGCCATTGGGCACCGGTAGTTTGATCAAGGACCCAACTTTAACCGCTATTGGCAAGAAACACAATAAGAGTGCGGCTCAGGTAGCCCTCAGGTGGCAGATCGAGAGAAATCTGGTGACAATTCCCAAGAGTGTCAACAAGAAGTACATTCAGGAAGACTTCGAGATCTTTGACTTCACTTTAGCTAAGGATGAGATCACAACCATTCATGACATGAAGGCTTAAATTGTTATATTTAGTAATGAGATATAGTTAATTAAATATTTATAAAAGATTATTAAATAAATTTCCAATATAAAAACATGAATTTTAATTCACAAATATTATCTTATAATTAGTTTTAAAACTCAATTGACAAGTAGTTTTTATTTGAAAATAATTGTCATTTCAAAACATGAAAAGTTTACTGTCCACAGTATTTTATTTGAGTGTAATTATAATAAGTACACTTTGAGTACATTTAAGAACTAAATTTATTTATTTAACAAAAACTAAATTTACATTGGTATTTTGAGAAAATAATTACATAAGTAAGAATTAATGACTACTGTACAAACTGTATTCTGTGTATACTAAATTCGCATACAGTACAGTAGTAATAAATTCAGAATCTCAATACATTCAATAAGTATACGTTAAACTGTACCCAAATATATAATACTATTAGATTATTATCGTACCTAAAAATTTAATACAGTAATACAATTAATTTCAAGCAATTGGTTCATAGTAGCACTTTTACTGACAATTACTTTTACTGTTAATTCACTGAATAAACAAAAGTCTAATTGCTAATGTATACAATAAATAAATAATAAACAGAATTAGAGTGTTATTTTAAATATTCAATCGTTAAATATGAAACACCTCCTAAACGGGGGTTTCGAGAACTCCCTTGTGAGAATCTCACCTATATAATATAATATAATACACATGTTTGCGCTTAAAATGCACTTTTAATTAGTATAAAAGTAAAGGTTAGATAAATGTTGACACAAACTGATTATTTAGTGAAAGTATGGTACAATAAAATAATATAGTACAATGCATACACTAATACCATTTTTGTTTGTCTATTTATAAAATTATATGATTTAAATCTGAAAAACGATAAAATTAAAACAAAACTCAACTAATTATCGCAAAAAGGTTGACGTGAATCCAAGCAATTGTCAAAAATGGGATCATTTGTAATCAAAGTATAACACTTGAAACTCAAGGATACTTTCGCACAACTATTTATAAGGTAGGAATCAATGGGAAAATAGTTGTCATTCAGTGAATCGGTTTCAGATAAAACTAATTCATAGTAACAATGAAAGTGTTGTCCATTTTGGCGCTGACTCTGGCGGTCGTATCGGCTAAAAGTTAGTACAAAAAAGTTTTCATACTTTAATAAAAACCTAATTAAATACTAATTTGTCAAAATAAAAACATTTTAGCGCCGGCTGTTAAGCTGAACACCGGCTATGAGATGCCGCAGATAGGTATAGGCACTTGGCAGGCTACCGGTGACCCCGTACGACAGGCCGTTAAGGACGCCCTGGCCATCGGCTACAGACACGTCGACACCGCCTGGATCTACAAGAACGAGAAGGAGGTGGGAGAGGGTATTCACGCCCAGATCGGCGCCGGTATCCTCAAGCGGGAGGACCTGTTCATCACAACTAAGGTGTGGCCGGACGGCAGTAACCGGAAGAAGGCGTTGGAGACTATCCACCACTCGCTCACTGAATTGAACGTCACTTATTTGGACTTAGTTTTAGTCCATTTCCCTCACGATAACTACTCCGACACTTATCAGGGTCTGGAGGACGCCTTCGAGCAGAAGTTGGTCCGATCTATAGGTATCTCAAACTTCGGTCGAAACGAAATCAATACTCTGAAGAAGACGTGGAAAGTGGTGCCCGCAGTCAACCAAATCAATCTCCACCCGACCCTTAACCAGGACGACACCGTTGCCTATTGTAATGAATT